TCCAAAGTCGCCCCACGTGTACCGGTTTGGATATAGGCTCTGCAATGACTTATGGTCCAGGTACTGGCAGGCAACTTCGGTTCGATCGGCGACTGGGAAACCGCGCGCGCAGTGAACGCGAGCGGTATGAATGTGACCAGCGGTTATGGATGCACAGCTGAAGGCACGCAGCGTTGGGACGCCAGTGGACGAGTACGTGTGGAAGAGATGCGGAGCGTAAGGTACGCTGTAGAGGGTTGGGTGGGTGGGTTTCGTTTTTGCTGGCTGCTTCGAAAGGCGCCCCTGCGCGCTAAAAGCTCTTCTTCTTCCTCCCAACTTATGAAGAGCTGAGTCTTCGCTTCTCTGCGGTCGAAATGGAGCTTCAATCCGACGCAGTTCGAATCGAGGAGCACCGTCGATTTCAGTTCAAGTTTCGGTGACCAATGCGTGAGTATTCCTCTAACTGTTTACAAAGGAACACTATCGACTAGATGTATCATCGAATCATCCTCCAGCCAATTCATCCACAACCACAGTCGATCTTAATGTTGGGCGCGCCGGCCGCCGGCCGCTCCAAAGTCGCCCAAAAAGGATTGCCCAAAGAATGTCGGGCAAACAGTTGTGGTTTGGCCGTGTAGGGAGTTGGACGAGTTTGCTAAGCGAACCTGGAAGAGAGCACGAGGTGTGATGGGGCCCAGCAACGTGACCAACGTATTGAATCGTGAAGAGGTCACAATGTTCTATGAACGAGCTTTGGAAGAAGCTGGGGAGATTGCAAACCAAAGTACAAGCAAGGGTTTCGAAGATGGCCGAAGGAAGACTTGGTGGGAATTCAGCGAGTTTATGCAGCGAATGGGTAAACAAGCAGCTGATGCAACGGGCTTAGATGTAGTCGTGTTCATACACGGTGATTGGATACCTCGTCATCGAGAGAAGTGTAGGACTGTGAGTCCTGATGACGGTCAGAAAGTGGCCTCCAGCTCAGCAGTGAAAGGGGTGATTACGCATCTCAGCAAGAATTTCGCCTTGCTAGGCCGGTCTGGTAACGAGAATCCTACGCAGTCCGAAGCTGTGCGGAGCTTTCATGACGGCTACAGAAACTGGTTGCACAGCAAAGGAGTACGGGAGCGACGTGCAGTGGTCGTCTCAGAAGGGAAAGTTCAAGATCTGGTGGCTAGCATCGAATCCCAAATAGCTAGCAGTCACGGCGTCCAAGAATGTTGTTTGCTGGGTGATCTGACTGCGACTTTGTATCTTTGGGCATCCTGGGCGCGTGGCAAGGAGTGTGGCGATCTAGAACGACGACAAATCTCATTCGAAGAAGGACTTTCTCGGCCGGGCTGGAACAAGACGACTCGTTTCGAGCCGAGTGCAGAGATTTCGGTGGACAGCCAATTTCTAGAGGCTGCCGGCAGGCTCATTCGCTCCTGTGAAGAGTACGGCGATCCAATTGGGCAGGGCTTCTTACTCCGGCCCTTGAACGAGCGGCGGAATGGCTTTAAGAAGGAAGCCATGAGCAGCGGCACCTTACGCCGGCGCATCCAGCAGCGGTTGAAGGACGCAAGCTTATTCGAGGGAGAAACGCTACATAGTTTCAGACGGTCGGCAGTACAACACGCCGCAGAGATAGAGGGGTACGATGTGGAAAAGCTCATGAAGAGGGGGCGGTGGTCATCATATGCAGCGTTCCGGCTATACATAGAAGAGATCGAGCACCGGTTTCCGAGGCGGAGAAGGATCGGACATTAGTCAGACAGCATCCTGAGACCGATAGTATGTTCAAATACATATGCGTACGGTACACGAAGGATTCAGTGATTACAGTATGCGGATTCAATGTTGTGATGGATCACAAGATTATTAGAACCTACTATCTTCATTGTCATACAATCTGTTCCAATTCCAATTCTAACTAAAAATTCTTATGTATGAACATGTTAAGTCTTGTGCCATTGGATGCTGTAAACTGCCAAGCCTAAGAAAGCAGGATTAAGTGTTCCGTTAGGAACTCTGAGGCTTGGTAAGCAGCTGGCCGCTGATTTCGGAATCAGTATCGGCCCTTCCACTCGAGCTCCTTGTAGTCTCCCCAACACTATGTCTACCATTGATCCTTTTGGTGCCGGGACACAGACGAGTGCGTTAACCTTGAAGAGCTCTAGTCTTTTCAGGGCTTGAATCGCGAGGCCTGGCGGCGGGAAGGCCCAGGCCCACTCCCTTGGTTCGACGATCTCGTTCCAGTCTTGTGCATTGGCATGAACCGCCGTACACCCGGGACAGTAGTATTTGGTCACGAATCGCTTGGCTTTATGAAACTGACCCGATGCGTACAGATCTATGTCAGGTTCGACTCCGAAAGTCTGCTTCACTAGTTGGAAGATTGGTTCCGTTAACGTCCAATCTCCTGGGTCTGGTTTGCGGGAGAGCGCGTCCGCCTGGGTTAATTCATTCCTCGGAACCCATCTCGCCCGGACGTCAAAGTCTCCTTCTGCGGCCGCCTCTAATAGCACTTTCAGGTTGGAGACGATGAAAGGTTTGGAACTTCTGAACCCGTTGATGGCCCCGACCGCAGCTTGGTTATCCCCGGTTACCAGGATCGAAGTTCCTTTAACCTCTTCCGCTCTGTTTTCAGCAACCGTTTTGATGGCCTCCACGTATCCCATGATTTCTCGTTCTGTGCTAGAAGTTTTTGCTTGGTCAGCGGTGAACGTTCCAGCTATTGTGAGCCGCTCCCTTGATGGAGTTTCTGCATAACCCCCAAAACCGACCGCCGACGCGTCAACACAGATACGGATTTGAACCGGCCTAGGCCACCATCTTCTGCCATTGAACCGCTCTATGTTTTGCACCCAGAACGAGGCGGTCTCCTTCACGATCTCTGGCGTTGGGAAGTGCGAATCCCATCCTTCCTTTCCATTCAAAGCTTCGTAAAGCGCTCTGCTGTAGATCGCGACCGGCAAGACTGCCGGCGCCGCTGAGACCAAGATTCCTGCCGCTCTGGCTATAGCTCGGGACGTCGTGCTCGTTGAGGTTATCAATTCTTCCATGGCGTCCTTTATCTTCTGGATCTTCTTCGGGTGAAGCCTAAACTCTGTCAGGTTCGTGTCTACTATGAACCCGAGCCACTTTGCCATCTGATCAGGTACCAGCTGACACTTTGGCAAACCGAAGAAAGCCCCCAGTGCTCCCATCAGCAGGACGGAGATGAGTATCTGTCTCTGCGCTCTAGCTTTGGACCTTGCTGCTGTGAATGAGTCGTCTATATACCCGAGACCGGTATTCTGCTTTTCCGGAGTTCCAACAACGGCTCTTGCATCACCTTTGTGAAGACGTAACAGGCTTGAGCGAAACCGAAACACAAAACTTTGTAGCAGAAGGTAACTCCCCCGACCTTGAAAGCGAAATACTTCCAATAGGCGGGATGGACCGGCACGTGAAAGTAGCCGGATTTCAGATCTGCAGTGCTGACGTAGCTCCCTTGGTCGGTGAAATTCAGAACGTCTCGAAGTTTCTCGTATTGGAACGGGATGGAAGTCAGGAATAGATTCAGGTAGCGATCGTTGCATATCAGTCGGAGCTTCCCGGCTGAATCGACTACTCCCATTGGGCTCACTACCTCGGGTTCTCCCCACTCTCGTTTCCAGACTGCGATCGCTCCCGACCTGAGGTTCTTTTCGATCTCCCCCTTTGAGAATTCCCACTCACGGTAGAAGGAGGCATGGTTTGGGAATTCGATCCGGTGCGGTTTTCTTCCGGTTAGAAATTCGTGTAGATGCTCCGCCCCAATCAGCCTTCTGAGCATTTCTTCAACCACCTTCCGTTTTTCTGGTTTCGCTTTCGACACACCGCTAAACCTGGGCCTAAACCCATGTTTTAACCACCCCAAGACCATCCTCGCTGACTTTCTGCCCGTCTTTCTCAGTAACTCGTCCCAGGCGGGCCAGAACGTTTGAAAACTTGCAGCTTCAAAGGCTTCATGGTTTGGGATCTTCTCCGGGAGATTCTTCAGTAATTCTTCTGTTTGGGTTTCTAATTCGGCGTCAGGATCATCCGGCTTAGACTGCATCACTTCCAGGAGTTCTTTGATTCTGTCTCGTTGATCTTGAGGATTGGGCGCGGAGCTTACTCGTGTTTGGATCCGGATAGCCGTCTGGACCCAGCTGCGCACATGCTCCGGTTCCGTCTTCGTCCCGGTCAGCGGGTCCTGGCTCGTCTCTATCAGATCTTCATCGTGTGCACCGTCTGGTTCTTCCGCCCCCGGATTTTCGTCATCCTCTTCTTCATCTGACTCAGACTTTTGTCCCGCTTCTAGTTTTCCACTCTTACCCCTCTCCAATTCGCCCGTCTGTCTATCTGTCCGATAGTCCTTTTCCCGTTCTACTTCCGTTCCTTTCACCGACTCTAGGCCTATCTTCACCGTTTCCTTTTGCTCTGTTCTCTGCTCCTGTCTCTGTGGTTCATTTCTACTGTCTCTCTCCTTCTTTCTGTCAAAAGAATAGATTATCTTATTTTAGATCCTATGAATGCTTAAAGTTACTCAAACTACCACATTAAAATTCTGTCCTTTAAAACTTATGCACACTGGTCATGCGTTCCGCTAATAATCCATGTCTTTAACAGTTATTCAGAGCATGAGCATGAAACTTCTTAGAACCTTCAATCATTCTAACACAGAATTCACGTTTTGGCAATCGACAAGATATTTAACGGTTATTTACAATTGCTCAAGAGAGTATGTACATGTATCTTTTCGTCATGTCCAGCCAGCGTCAGGTTACACCCAAAGGTCCCGACATCCAATCTACTTTCTACAAAAGTCTCGTCTTCGTATCTTCTAATTTTTCTAAACTCTTACTTCTTTCTGTTCCCTTCACTCTTATCTATTATGAAGAACTTTACTTAGCCTCTGTGTTCTTTCTACTTCCAGAAAAGAGCTATCAAACTTTGGCTCCAAAGTTTTCAGATCGCAATCGGCTCTTACTCCTTCATTCTGGGGACAAACGGCGACTCCATCCTTGGTCCTGCGAACCTAGGTGGGAATCCGGCCCCGAACCCTCTGCCATACTGCGGCCTCCAGCCCCCCCTGCCAGCAGGCATCTGCATCAGGCCCATCCTGCAAATAATTTCCACTGCCTGTGAGTTTATCAATTCCTTCGTTTTAAAACATTCTTCAATCTCCCAGTCGTTTCGTTAAGTCTTATCACTCGGTTAAAAATTCCGCTTCTCAGAAGTTTCATCCTTGTTTCGAATCAGCTTCTGGTTTGTGCTTTTACTCTAACCTCCTTCTGGGCTCTCTCGGCCCTTTCGCATGAGAGCAAGCTTCTTCGCTTGTCCAATTCGCCCTCTTGGCTTTTGACTAATCTACTGGAGCTCTCTTGGCTCTGGGCCACATGCCCCTTTTTTCAACTTTACTCCTGGCAAAGCGCCTTCCCTTCTTTCTCTAGTTCTGTTTCTCATAACTTCGTTTTATCAATTCTTCAGATTCTAACCTAGTCGCTTGGACACCTACCTGTCCTTCTTGTTCGCCCATTCCGGATGCTTTGCCAGCACGTCCTTCTCTTTCACTCTCTTCTCCTGGAAGAACTCCATTATCTCCCTTTCCACCTTTTCTTCCTGTTCTTCCGTTGCTGACTCCCCCAGGACCTTAGCCTTACGTTGCGCGAATGCAGTCAAGTCTTCCCCGAGATACGACCCCACCTTGACTGACTCTGCTTTCAGGACCGTGCTAAGGTACCCTGCCAACGAAAGGGGCTGCTTCTGGGGCTTTGGTGCGGAATAGACCATCATCATTGCTTCTGCCTGGGCGAATAGCCCAGGCTCTGTGACTGGATTGATCAGAGCTCCGAAGAGCCTCATTTGCGTTTGCATCGCGAGCTTGTTCTCGCGAACCTTTCCCTGCCGTTCCAGCTCAGCCAGCCTCGCTTCTATCTCTGTTGGTTGCTGCCCGACCTTATTTGCCCAAAAGTTACGTTCTGCATGTTCACAGGTGGGGGACCCATGAAACCGGGAGGAGCAAAAGGTGTGGCCTGAGGGATCCCTTCCTGCCCCACCCCCCCCGGTTGGCCCATCCCCTGCGGCTGGAACCTAGGCATGAATCCCGTCTGATTGTGTAGAGGTGGAGGCATCGGGGGAAAACCCGGAACAAAGTTCCTTGGCATCTGCTGGGGAGTGAAAACCCCCACCGGCCTGTTCCCGGGCCATTCCGGGTGCCTTCTCCTACCCCCGTCGAAGAAAATTGGGGACCGTTCTCTGACTAAGCCTTCTTCTGGCTCTTTGTCCCAATCTCCCCCGAAGTCATCTGCAGGTGTCCTGAACCTCTGCGGCTCGCGCTCTCCAAAAGCCCTAGTGCCGGGCCTGCTCTGAGACCTGCCCCTGTCTTCTCTGCCTTTCGACCTGATTTCATTTTCCAGCTCCAGGTCTTCTTGCCCTCTCCCCGCTCTAGTTCTGCCCTGCTGGAGGAAAGGTTCGTCTTGCATACCATTTGCCCTGAGCAGCTGGATTAAGGGGTCTCCCTCCCTTCTGGATCCTGCTCCAATCGATAACTCCTCAACCGGAACATCTGTGTACTTCTCCCCCGATTCTGCTTGGACCTCAAACTTCCCCGTGCTCTGGGATATGCTGATCACTTTGACGAAGACTCTGGCGAGATCCCCTGATGGCCTGAATTTAAACCTGAGCCCTACGAAACTCTGCAGTCCAGCTAACTTGCTCAGATTTTCCACTATCCTCCTCTCCTCTTCTACTCCCCTAGACTTATTCATCTCGCCGACCGGGTTCTATTCGCGAACTCAATTTCAGGAGCTGGCACTGTCAGACTGGCTCTTCTTCGCATTTCCCGGTTCCGACTCTTGGAAGACAATCGCTTCAGTTGCCTGATCGACAAACGAGACGGCGAGGCCCCTGAGCTGCCTGATGGAGAACCCCGAGCTCTCTGCCAGCACCTTCCAGTTGACTACTGCCTCGTAGTTCACTTGTTGCAACGTCCTTATCAGGTCGTGATCTTCTGCGGTGAGTCCGATTGCTTCTGAAGGTGCATCCCTCTTATCCACGAAACACTGCACTTTCGGAAGCCCTTCTCCTGAGATGTCTGCAGCCTTTCTCTTGAGCTTGAGATTCTCCGTCGCCAGCAGCTTCGCCAATTCTTCTGCCTTGTTTGCTCTCTGTTCTGCGAGTTCTGCCCTTTGCTCTGCTAAAGTTCTCGCGAGTCGATCTTTGAGCAGTTCCGAGATGTCTTGCACTTCCCCGATGACGTCGTACAGCTGTCCAAACTTCAGGAGTGACTCCAGGAAAAGATAGTCTGTGAATTTCGCTTTGTTCGTGCATGCATCTGCTGCGTATATTGCTGACTTGAGTCCCCTTCCGAACGTCGTCAGGAACTGCTCCGAATAGTATCTCTTGCCCACACACAGGAAAACTTGCTTCGGGAGCCACGAACTGAATTCTTGTCCGCTGTCCAATGCAGACTGATCCTTTCCTTGGTACGCCAGTCTCAGCGCGTCAAACGATGGAATATTCAGTGCCGCAGCCGGTACCCTGTGGCCCCCTGCCACTACGGCCCATTCCTGTGAGTTCATGCACACTATCTATACAATGCTGCCCAAATCGGTTTCGTTTTTGCTGGCTGCTTCGAAAGGCGCCCCTGCGCGCTAAAAGCTCTTCTTCTTCCTCCCAACTTATGAAGAGCTGAGTCTTCGCTTCTCTGCGGTCGAAATGGAGCTTCAATCCGACGCAGTTCGAATCGAGGAGCACCGTCGATTTCAGTTCAAGTTTCGGTGACCAATGCGTGAGTATTCCTCTAACCAGGATTGTGTTCACCGGTACCTTCTAGAATCTACGGTATACCGTACATCATTATCATATCACAAGCCGTGACTCCGCCCGTGAGCTAGAGTCTCCTGCGGGCCTGCCACGTTCTTCGGCCTGCGGCCTGCCTACCCGAATCGGCCTGCAAGCTTCTAAGTTCTGGAGTCCTGATGGTCTCCTTTCAAACTTTACGCCGTAGCCAGTTCGGCCACAGGGGTCCTGACTCCTGACTCCTGACTCATTTCAATTATCCAAATACGCCGTAGCCAGTTCGGCCACTAAGGCTTCTCATCCCCTTCTCATGGCACACAAATGTTGACTGAGTGCGTAAATCTTTTCCAGTGTAGTTCGCCATACACTACCCTATCAACTTTACCCGGCAAAGCCTTATCCACGACTTATCCACAGCCTGGTCAAGTTGAGAACAACTATAAGAGGATAAGAGGAGTATAAGTACGGCTGGTGGTAAATTCCAGAAACTTCGTTGAGAAGCATTGCAATCAGGACTTGGAGTGTTCGTGCGGTGTACTACGGACCTCTTAGGGTAGGTAGGCATAGGCTAGCCATTGGAAAGCAGTTGAGGAAAGACACACACTCATACATGTATGCCATGAGAAGCCTATGCCCTGTTTGGCTTCGGCGAGAACAAAAAGAGACCATATTGTATGAGTCGGTTCGATGTCGGACCGGTTTTTGCGTCAAACGCTCAAACCTGGCCTGCTGCCAATGCGTTTCGATCGCACCGCTTAAACCTTTCAACCGTCCGATCGTCGTCAATGGAAGGCGACCCACGCTCGGCGAAGTCGAAACCTGATGGCAAAAGTTAGTGACCCAAACGGCTGTACCAAACGACGATACATGCAGGATCCAGTTAAACCACAGTGCTTTCGGTGCTTGTAAGTTGTCGAGACTATACTTTGATTCACATGCAAGTTGGCGGTTTTGATTAAAATCAATCAAGGGTAGCGCACCCGGTGCCAAGGGAATCGCGCCCGGACACTATATATTTTCTCGTTACACACGCCAGTGGTGGCCAGTCCGACCTAGTTGCGGTGCACGACTTAGATTGCAGGCTCACAAAGATTTCGTGTCTGTCCAAGCAAAAGACTTTCGAGCACAGAATGGTGAAAAGTTCTACCTTCCGCAAAAGTATTTTCTCATGTACAACCTAAACAGGTATGGTCTATCTTGTTGAAAACAGAAGAAACCTTTGACTAACAGGGATGTGAAACCGTCGTGCGTGAATTTTATGGATGCTTGCGTCTTCAGATGAGGATCATTAGATTTAGCCGTAATCAAAGGACCAGTCCTCTGATAGACAGTCACGGACATCACGTAGAAGCTCGAGCACGAGACCATATACTACAGCGACAACAGCTTCTTCCAATGGAGCCACCCCACGATCCCCACCACGCATGCGACGCAGGCGGCCAGCGTGCTCCACATAACCCAAGGAAAATAGCGCGGGTCACTGTAGAAGCTGCACTGGACGTTCATGCCAAACACGCCGCCCACAATCACGGCTATGCTGGCCGCTACCGTGCCAATCGTGATGAGGATCACCAGCAGCAGCAGCTGGTTCTGGTGGTCGTCCAGCCGGATGTTGATGTAGTCCTCAGTATCCTCGATGTACTCCCGCAGCTGCAACATCAGCGCGGTGATGTCAGCTCAGGCGCCTTTTCCTTCCTGGAAATGAGAGGTGGCGCAATCCGATACATCTGGACCATCAGAAGCACAACCTAGTACAAACGGGACCCTAACGACGCGGCAGCCTTCCGCAGCACAGGCGCGGGTGCACATTGCGATTAGTCAGCACGACTAGCCAGGGGCAGCAGAAGCAAGACGACGCCCCTTTTCCCACCAGCTTCAAAGTACATTTTACCCTGTACCTTGGCGAGCTGTTTTCGATAAACGGCAACTGCGCCTGTCACGGTCGGTGGCTGCATCCAAATGCAGATTTCAGAGCCCTTTGCCATCCCCCGAACACCAGGCTAGCCATGCAAACCTCCTCCGGCGCGTGCTTGCAACTCACGGCGGAGAGCTTGTTGAGCGTGCCCTCGATCTGCGCGAAGTAGGCCTCCAGCAGCATCTCCAGCTCCTCCACGTCCTCGCCCTTGCCGCTCTTGCGCGTGCTCTTGCTGCTGCGGCTGCTGCGCGACACGCTGCTGCGGCTCGCGCGACTGCGGCTCCCGCTGCGGCTGCGGCTGCGGCTGCGGCCGCGCCGGAGGCTGCGCGCGCTGTGGCTGCTCAAGTGGCGCAGCAGGGGGCTCACCTGCCAGGCAAAGCGGGAGGGCAGATTGAGGAACTTTGATGATAGTAACGATCCGTATTGTGTGAGGCCTGAGAGGAACCATCGTAAGACACACTACAGCCCGCAGTACCGTACCACAACGCACCTCGTCGTTTTCACGAACCCTATCCGTTCTCATGTACTGCTGCTCAGAATTGGTTTGAGGAGGGATGCACGAGGTGAGAACAAACGGTCTGCGAACATATCCTGGACCACCATGAGAACTAGCAAGAAGCAATCACCATTAGTGCTTCTCGGAAAGCACGTCCCCCAGTGTCTCTCAGAAGCTCCTTTTGTAGAAGAAAAGAGCACACCCGGAGGCTTGTCACAAAAAAAGATGCATCGATTCGGCATAAGCGGTGCGCGATGATATTGACCACTGGCAATGAACGGGTCTAAAGTGCCCAAACCTCCAGCGAAAACAGAAACCAATCTCCATCGGTTTCTGCCTCTTCCGTGCCCCCAGAATAGGCACGACCTACGCAATTCCGACAAGTGCCACCTCTCACCTGATCATCTGCTTCGGTATGGCCCCCATCATGGCCCGCCGCACCCTCCGGCACACTGGGTCCCGCGCCTCTCTCTTGGCCCCCCTCTTGGGCCCCGCCCTTTTGCCCCCCAGGAATAGCTTCGTCCAGTTCCCCCCGTTGATTGAAGGTCAGCTCACGCATCAACCGCGGCCCCTCAGACGAGAATCCAACGTCGAGAATGTCTGGATGAACGGGGCCCAATCGGGGGGTCGACCCTTCCGTAGGGGGGCGCTCAGATGGGCCGGGGTCCAGTGAGTTGAGGGGGGGGAGCGCGGGAGCGGAGCTGCTGGGGGGCGTTGGGTCCTCGGGGATCGCACTAGTGCTCGGTTGATGGGAGCCGAAGTTGCGGGGGGAAAGGTGTGGGGAGCTGCCGGCCATCACAGAGCTGGAGTGAAAAGCAGCATGTTCAATAACGGCAGAGACCATCAGAAGCGGGTTCTGAGACAGGGAACTGGTTAATATAGTAACGGTGAGCGGACAAACAACCTGAAGCATACAAAGACACTCTCATATTGCCGGCACAGCAGCCACTCTCATATTGCCTGCACAGCAGGAGCGCCGAACGAAAAGGAAGAGCTTCGAAGGACGTCGGGGACTGCGCGACATGTTAGCCTGCAAGCGCTGCTGAAGTCCCCAATCGTTTTAGAGAAGCTGACAAAGAGACGCAAACAAAATCCGAGGGGGAACGGAAGAACTGACCCGAAGCCTCCACCAGCGGTGAGCGAGGACTGGGGCGAAGTTGGCTCCAGGGCTTCCATGAGCTTGTCAGTGAGGTACATTTCAAGCATATCGCCATCGTCGTCAAGCAGCCCCTCCAGCTCATCACGCACCTGCGAAGAAGGTCCGATCTTTCAGATACTCGCCGCTCGCACTAAAGGGCTTCGTTTCCGAAACTTTTATCCCAAAGCGGAACCATGTAGCCACCACAGAGGCCGAGCAGGTGACGAAGCTTGAAATCCACAAATTGCTGTGGGAGTTTCCTGTCAAAACTGGCGAAATGAGCAGTTCCACTCAAGGGGACGGTAAAACGATCGAAATCCATCCGTTAAAAGAGCCAGCAGCTTGATGCTTAAACCAAGACCTACACGAGTCTCTGATACTCATAGCCGTCTGACTTTCCTACAAACTTTCTTACAGCATCTTTCCTGCACCCACCTTTTGCACACGCACGCTGAGCCCCACGAGCCTGCTCTTGTAGCGCCGCACCCGCTCCAGATTCGCGCTGATGATCTTCACCGTCAGGTCATCAAGCGCAGGGTAAGCCTCTCGCTCTAGTTCCGCACTCTTCACATCCAGGTGCCCGCACACCGTCTCCAAAATCACCTCCAATGCCCGGAACTCAAACGGCAGCACCACCGGCGCAGTCATCCCCTGTCCCACGAACGTACCCCCACCGCCCCCATCGCCTCCGTCCAGAAACAGCACCTGGCTGGTGCTGACTACTGGTGATGCGTGCCGCCCGTCGCTGTCAGGGCTGGGGAGACGCTGGTACGACTTCTTGCGCCCAAACATGCGGTCCCGAATGGCAGTGAATGGGGCCCAGACTGAAGCCTCCTTCTGGGGGGGTGTAGGGCGCTGCGCGCTGCGCGGCCGCTGTGGGGCGGGGCTGGCGCCTCGCGATCGAGCCGGGGGGCTTGCTCTTGGCAGGGGGGAGAGACTCCGCACCCGCTCGCGGTTGGCCTGCCTCTCGGGGCTGCCCTTGAGAAGGGGATCCCTCGCCGAGCGCCGGACGGGGCTCCAGCTGCGCCCCCGCAGGCTGTTCTCGCGCATCAGGTCGTGCCATCGCTGCTCCCTGCCGGGGGGTGCCTGCGCCCTCGGCGGCGACTTCGGCCGCTCCTTGGAAGCTCCACGCCCCAAAGGACTTTTCCCTCGGGCCCCCGGGCTGTCTTGCCGGCCAACCGCTGCCTGCGCCACTGCCTTTCTGCCGCTGCTCGGGAGAGGGCCCCGGGCAGTCAAACCGGGAGCTAATAGCAAGCTGTCAGCTTGCAAGGATTCCGTGGGGTGCTCGGAAAGGTTAGCGTTGGCAATTACTGGTGAGCCAGCAGGGTTAGGAGACATTGAGGGGGGCGGGCTGGAACGGGCGTAGTCGAGGGCAAGATGGTCCCGCAGGGAGGCAAGGCGGCGCTGCAGCTCCGCGACGAATAGCTGCACGTGCGGGTTCTGGTAGTTCTGAAGGAGGACCTGCAGACCAAAGCAGACTGATCTCCATATGGTGGACTTAGCGGAGGCGCCGGTCAGAGTGCAGTCTTGGATCCAAAGCAGCAGCGTCATCCGTAGCATCTCTACAGGAAACAGCAACCGATGACTCTGCTGCATGGCCATCTTTAAAGCGTATTTTAGTCTTTAAAGATGGCCATACAGCAGAGTCATCGGTTGCTGTTTCCTGTTGAGCATGTTGTCTTAAGGAAGTGCACGTCACTGTGTCCCCAGTCCCAGTATTGGTATGATTGAAAGCTCAAGAACCCCTCACATGCTCTCTTCCTCACGCAACTGAATAGTCCACACCTGCCCTGGGTTCAGCAGCATAAAGCCTATTAAAGGGTTTCAACAAGCAATGCCCAGCATTCACCTCCTCAGCCGTGACGATGGCCTTGATGTGCTCAAGATTGATGACGATGGCCTTCTCTCGCCCCAGAATGGTGGACGGGTACACGAGCACAGGGTCCAAAATGCGCAGGTCGCGCGCGGGGATGGCACACCGCCGCATGATTGCATACTAAAGAACAAACGGACCAGGAACGGTTAGGATTGAGGAGTGTACTTCGGCTCTCTTGTGGCTCCACTGAAAAGAAGACAATTCCGCTGAACTTTTAGATTCGCTCATTGGGAGCTGCGAATTTTTCTAAGGACATTTGATCCAAACGGATTGCAATCCAAGAATGCTGTAACGTCATCAACCACCAAGCACGTTCCTAGACCTCATTCAGACCAACTCTCTCTGCAACCAATGGCTGTTAGTCTAATCCCCAACCCTTCCCTACCAGAAAGGCGCTCTTCAATCTTTGCAAGCAGAGCTTACTTTGTCCGCCTCGATGATCTGTGTGGCCCCCGTGGGATCAATCCGCAGCCATGACCGCATGCCCAGCCCCCTAGGCTTGGCTGCTGCATCCCCTCCTCTTGCTGGGGAGGTTGCCCGTCCCCTCACTCTGTTTGGCGTGCCTGGGCGGCTGGAAGAGGACGGTCGTTCCTCAGCTTTCAGTCGCCTCCCCAGAGGACTGGGAGACGGCTGCCGAGCTACAGCAGCGTCTCCTCGTTTGGCAGAGCCTGGCTTATGCATGGCGGGAGAAAGAACAAGGAGAAAAAAAGCTCCGAGACAGTCCTCAGCTCTTGCTTGTTGTTGCAGTCCCCAGGTCAACCATCAGAAGGGGTTGGTATCTCAAAGTATGGACCAAATTGTATGGCGGCTGGCCGCCCTTGGATAGAAAAGCGACTGGCGAGAGCGAGAGCCACTGGTTTCACTGAAACCCTAGTCCAGATGCCAATGGCGCCCTGTTTAGGGTTTCATAGTCCTCACTTTCGCTCTGCCTGGAAGCTGAACTTTCGCGGTTCTGTTTGCTGAACTTTGTTCCCCATTCTGTATTCAGCAGACCCTTACAATCATTGCACAGTGCCACCCCTTCTTGTCCGATGCGATCGGCTCTTTGGTCCATTGACAGGGAGCAGCAATGGCATCTACCTCAACGCCAGTGGCTGCGTAATCTGACTGTTCGCAGCCGTTCCAACGTGATCAGATGGCCGGAGCTTGGTAGTCCATGTTGGCAGCAGCACGGCGGTCCCTGAGCACATCGCTGCGGCGCAGAATGGCAGCTGTCTTAGAAAAACCTGCGGTGCCCGCGGAGAACGGTCTGCACAAGGTGAGGTTTATTCCTTTTCAAGACTGCAGCAAGTCTTCTCTTGGTATTGAGTTGGTCATGCCTACTTCCTGTGATGCCTTCCTTCAAAGCGCGGGTTGCAAGTGGAGCGGTGAGACAGCAGGCGCATATGAACCATGTGCATATGCTTATCTGTCACATCACGTCCTGATCTCAGAAGCAATGCACTAAGCATAAATCACTTTTCTCTCGACCAGGTCTCAACAGGACAAGAAATGGATGGTCCTCAGACTTCAAGCGGTGCTGGATCACTGCCTGCGTGCTTTGACCATGCCCTGGCATCCATCAGACACCCGCTGGGGAGCAATCAGCAGGTAATGCAGAGCGAAACCTTCAGCAGTATTAAGCTTAGAAGCAAAGCAATGCTTTGATCAATATGAAAAGTTGGATGCTCTCGCTTGACATCTACTCTGAAGCAATGTTTTGGAAAGCTTGAAGGCTGATTGGTGTCGAATATCTTGTACGATCTTGTATTCACCTCAGATCTAACATGGCAAGTCGCCTGCAGGTGTATGCGATTGGAGGCCTTGGCGAGCCTGCTGAGAGCCCTTCCCTGGATGTGCACTTGCTGGACTCAGAGAATCAGAGCTGGGAAGCTGTTGCCACAACTAGCATGTCATCCAAAACAATGCCAACGAATCCAGCTTCTCGAGGCTGTCAAGCAACAGCAGGTGAGGAACCATAGGGAGAGGACAGATGCTGGAATTGACTCTCTGCTCATCATACATTTGAGCTTGCTTTCTTTTGTCACTGTTCCTCAAGCCACAACACTGGACTTTGCACAGCTTACCTTGAGATCCAACCAAAAGCTTGCGGAGAGCTGATTGATGATGCATTCTGCTGCCTGCAGTTGTTGGCAACAGCATCTATTTGATCGGAGGATACGGAGGCGGCAAGACTCTGGATGAGGTCCTTGAGCTGGACACTGCCACCAAGCAGTGGAGGCAGGTGGAAGCCACTGGCACGGGCCCAGGGGCAGTCTCTGGGGCCACAGCCACAGCAGTGGGGGACAAAATCTATGTTTTTGGAGGTGCCGGCAGCGACCACAACCCAAGGAACTCTGTGCATATTCTGGACACGATAGAGCACACGTGGTGAGTCTCTGCAGATCATGCCAGTCTTACTGCTTCGACTAAGTCTGGTTGATCGAAGATCAGTTTGATTAAAAAGTGCAGGCAAGGTGCTTCTTTGGTCACTGCACTGGCTCGCTGTGTTTCCCCTTAACATCGAAGCTCAGGTGATGTCATGGATCTTCGATGGACTTTCTAACTGATCTCCCCCTCAAAGTCATTGTTTGTCCACTCTTCCAGGCTCACACCCCACATATTGGGGGATCCCCCTCCAGCACGCTGCGCGCACTCAGCCACTCTGGTAGGGCCAGCCCCCTCAAAAGCAGAGCTAGACCCTGACACTACGCCCCTGGCTGGCGATCGGATCCTGATGTTGGGGGGGTATGGAGCCAAGCCTCTAGGGGACGCCTGGTTCTTGGAAGTGGCCACTCCCTATGTCAAGGAGCAGATGCAACAGCGGGGAGAGGCTGTTGTGGCTTGGAGTCCGGTGGCAGCAGGCACATCTGTGCAGGTGAGAATCTGGGGGCAACATCGCTGTTGAGTAGGACGCAGGAGGTGCTTCCTGAAGGGTCACTGGAAGCTCCTGTGGATCAATCTTGCCAATTTGCTCCCCGTAAAGCTTCAGGTGAATTGACAGGGTTTGTAATAGAGACCTGGGCCCCAAATTCTGGGCAACATCTGGAAGAGGAGCCGATATCCAAGCCAGCAGGATGCTTCTCTCGGCAGCTGCGTGCTAGGATTGCAAACCGAGTCCAACTTCTTGTTGGTGGATCAGACTCCTGAGCGGCGCCCGGTGGTGATCTGCGGTCCTTCCGGGGTGGGCAAGGGCACACTCATCAACAAGTTGATGGCCGAGTTCCCAGGGCAGCTTGGGTTTTCCGTGAGCCACACGACGAGGAAGCCGCGGAAAGGAGAGGAGAACGGAAAGCATTACCACTTCACAGAGTGAGCAGCTGAAAGCAGACACTTGTCGCGCCAGGATTTGAAGGATATCTGTTGGAAGCTCTCATACACCGCATGTCAGTTGGAGATGTGAGAGAAAAGGGATGCACTGTCTTTATCGTCTTTAATTTTTTTTTGGAGACCTTGCCTGCTGACAGGTTGGAACTCACTCAGGCTGGGACTGACTAGCTCCCAGATGTTGCAAGAGCGGTTCGTCTGTTTGACTCGAAACTCTCTGAATTGCGACCTCGCTATTCGAGATGCATCTTTCTCTGGACAAATTAGATTCACTTGTTTCTTTCAAGGAGCTCAAAGGGCGGCTCGAACGTGAAGACAAGTGCCCTGTTTTGAATACCAGCTTCCCTTCTGTGCCTCATATCGGCGCCAACGAAGAAGTGAAAGGTTCGTTTCTCAAGTCCGTACGTCTTTTCGCTCTTGCAGAAAGGCAGACTTTGAGCGGGAGATTGCGGCTGGCAAGTTTCTAGAGTACGCGCACGTGCACGACAACATCTACGGTACGAGCATTGCAGCCGTGGAGGCGGTCGGGGCTGCGGGGCGCACCTGCATCCTGGACATTGACGTGCAGGGGGCGCAGCTGGTCAAGAACAGCACGCTGGAGGCGCTCTTCGTATTCATTTTGCCGCCGTCCGAAGAAGAACTTGAGAAGCGGTTGCGTGGCAGGTGGGGCCTCAAGCAACTGTCAGATGTGTGCAGGAGAGTGTGAGGGGTTCAGGCATAACCAAGTGGGACATGCTCACGGCTGCTTGTAGGAGCATGTTAGCCTCCTTCTCTTTATTTGCTGGGCGTTTGCCTCGACAAAGCTGGCTTTTCCTACCAGAGACTTTCTGGGAGCGAGTTCCGAGTTTTCTACTGCGTTGATAGCACAGCAAATACGCTTTCACTTCGCAAGGAGATTCTACCTTCTGGCCCAGTTCGATCAAAGCGCAAAATGCTGAGCAGAACAGGTAACGTCTTGGTAAGAACTGGCAAGCACCATTCCGTCCTTGTCCAGCAGAGGACGTTTTAGCTGTGGAGAATTTTGAAGGAGCGAACCTTTGAGTACATTGCGAAAGGGAGTCTAATAACCCGTCGTGTCTCCTCTTTTCAAATGGAGGACACACCGGCCCGCCAGAGATAGGTCGTGGGTACCTTTCGTCGAGCGTACATTGAGTCTCAAAATCTTCTGATGAGGATCCTGAAGCCCATGCTCTGGCTGACGTCAGCTGTGACGTTCTTTCAGGGGCTCGGAGGACGAGGAGCAGGTGCAGAAGCGGCTGCGCGCGGCGCGGGGGGAGATGGCGCGCGCCTCAGACGCGTCGCTCTTCAACCACACGCTTGTGAACGACGACCTCGACAAGTGCTACGCGAGCCTCAAGCAGCTGCTCGGGCTTGCACCGGGAGAGGCAACTGCGGAAGGGCTGCCAGGTGAGCACAGATGCAACGAGTTTTTGCATTTCCGCTTCTTCCCCATAATGACCCACTAGAAGAATCTGCTTTGCGTTCTTTTGACTGAGCCAGTCGATAGGGCCAAGAGCGAACAATGGTCCAGGATGTGACTTTGCGAGCCCCCTACGACAGGTCAACAGGGAAACTGAATGCGATCGATGCCCCAAATCTCATGCCTGACCAAACCCGTTAACGAGGGAACCCATTGTACATTCGGTCTCGAGATTCAGAATCCGAACGAAGTAAACAGCTTTTGAGGTGGAGCTTGCCGCTTCTTGCCTGCATGAAATTCGAACGGGGCCGAAGAACATGTCAAAGTATGTATACTCATCCTGCAAAGTAGGCGTTGGATCACCTCCCAGCTTTCGGTGTCTGGAAATGACCACTACGTGACTGCACAAGGATTAACAAGGGTCGACCAACTGTGTCAAGCAGGCTGTCACTGTTGCTCAGACTTGACTCTTCTGCATACCATTAAAGCCTTTAATCGATCAAATGGTTAAAAAAGGCATCTGGCTTCTCTGGACAATCCGCCTATCCGACTGCGCCTTCGTCACGCGAAGGCGTGGAGCACTACTGACTTCATTGACTTTCCGCCTTCGGCCGTAACTGCAGATTAAGACCTCTATTAATAAGAGACTCTCGCGGGTTTGTGAGCCAGCTCTCTCACCGGCCTCCTCTCTTCCGTTGCAGGGCCGTGCTCTGGCCACACCTCTACGGCAATGGGCGACCGGGTGCTGGTGTACGGGGGTGTTGCGGACGGGCCTGCACCTCTCTCGGACGTCCACCTGCTTGATGTTTCCAACCTCACCGGAGGCGCGCCGGAAGCGACGACAGGCTTGCGGGGCAGAAAACTGTCGAGAGCGGACTTCAATTTCGACCGGGCGTTTGTACCGGAGGCACGTTACAATCACAAGGCTGTGGCGTTGTCAAAATTTGAAGTGCTACTTGTCGGAGGATACGATGGGGCGAATGCGTTGGGGAACACGGCGGTTTTGCGTCTGGCAGAGGTGGAAAGATCATGGCAGGGCTGCCTTTCTTAAGGCTGCCATCGGAGTTGTGGCCATGCTGACAACTGTACCTTATTGAAGGGATGCATATCTTAATGCTTCATTGTTAGTTACCAAGCTACCCGGGCGGAGGTGAGCCTACTTTTGCAGGCACGGAGCCTTTCGAGGCCCGAAGATGAGTCTGTAGTATTATGGGATATGAAACATGACCTGCTTGTTGTCAGGGAAACAGTATGGAACGATACGTTACGTGGCAGGTATCAACAAATTTGCGGAGAATTGGCTTCGGGTTTAGTGGACCCGTGATCGAAGGGTTCAAATGCTAGCTGCGCCGGCAATATGACGCATCATGGATAATATTCTACTTCGCTTCCTGGAATCTTGAATGTGACGCACGATGTTGGAAGCACGCACGGAAGCTAGTCACGCCCGTTAAGGCCATTGTCGGGTTGCAGGCGGACTCTTTGTTTTGCAAAGAAGAACGTGGCGTGACTTGCGACAGTCAACTCGTCGAACGAACCGGCTTGCGAAGTATGAGCTGAAAGGTCATCTCCAGTGCACCATATACCCGTAAGACCTCTTGCCATCGACGTCGCTCTCAATCATTGCATGATTCATAAGAATCTTAAGTGACATTTCAGCCGACGCCAATTCGAAGTCAGGTATTCACGACCTCGAGGCCCAACTAATTAGAAGGAAATTCTCGCGCATATACCACGAGCATCATCGTGATGAGTACTTGGCGCCAAATCCATATACAGGCCTACGTTATGCACATGCAGGAAATTAATTTTGTGAAGATGCGTGGCTGCAATGTCTTTGCCATGCATGCTGGCCAGAGGCGCATGTATAAAGATGTACGTGCCACGATTAAGATTCTTGAACCGAAAGACTCGACGCATGACCGTTAGAAAACACTTCGTTGAATACGCGACTACAGGTGTCCAATTTTGACGGGGTTTTGAACTCTATCCAGTTTCAGTTGCCACAGACTGCTTTCGGCTGCTTAAAAATCTGCATAATCAATTTCCGGGAGCGGTTTCACAACGAGACGCGCTTCGACTTGAAGAAGTTCCAATCATTGAATCTATGTACCTCTTACGATCGAAAACGCTAACAGTATGAAATATCAATCCTACAGCCAAAGTCGTTTGAACGGTCTCCTTGCCGCCGCCAAACGCGGCTCCGTTCATAACGTAACGGACAGATCTGATCCTGAACTTACCTCCGGTCCTACAGAAATCTCGGAGAGCTGCCAAAGTTCTGCCAGGCTTGTGACGTGTACCGCTCGACGTACGCCGTCCCCGCCGCCAGCTGCAACCGGCACTGCGCCGCTACGGAGGCCCCGCACTGCACGCACCCGCGACTGGCAGGACGCGGGGCCACTTTCGGAACCGAAGGGGACCCCGGTGTGAACGGGCTCGGTTGTTTCCGAACGTGCTAGCGCCTCCCTCTTGTCGGACGGTGCGACACGCCCCGCTTACCAGACGGTGTGAACGCGGCCCTTTACGCCGTTTTCTTCTTTTCCGTTCTATCTTCGCCTTCGACTCTCCATTCAGTTATTTCTTCGCCCTCTCGTCCTTCTCTCTCTCCGCGTTCTCGTTGTTTCCTTTCTCTCGCTGCCCTCTTGTCGCAGATCCGTACTCATTCATTTTCTCCACGTGAATTCGTTCTTACTTCTTCTTCTTCTAGTCAGTCCGTCCTCTCTCCGCTTTTTCGTAAATCCGTTCTCTTTCCGTCTCTCCGTTCCCGTCTCCTCGAAGTTCTGACAGCCCCTGCGATCCCCACTGCTTCCCACATCCTCCCTGTGAAGCTAGGCAGTTCGAATACTTTGCCCTTTTTGATCTCGTCCCGTGCAAAGATGACTTCCGTCATAGGCAGCTCAACGGAAGGTACAGAGTTCCGCTTGCCCTTCTATCGTCTACGAGTTCAGCGCCGCTGTCTAGCTGAGAGATCTGGCTGACGTAGACAACCACCTCAGCAGCTCTCAACTTTCTCGCCCAGCTCGTCGCTTTCCAATCTGAGGAAGCGGAGAAGTCTCCGCAACACACTTTCTGAGCGCAGACCCGGCTTTCAACGGCACGTTTGAACAGCTTCCCTTGCCACGACTGTGCTCGCCGTCTGAGTGTGCGCTGTAGACTGAACGATTCCGCGCTGCAGTTTCGCTGCTCTGAAGTGGGATTCCGTGCGCCTCAGTGTCTAAGCCAAGGCCCCGTCACCCCGTCACCTTGTCTAACGTCACCTTCCCTTTCGCCGATGATTTTCGGCACCAATATTTAGCCTTAACGTCACCGTAAGATAGTGCCAGGTTCAGCTCGGGCACAAATCAGAGTATCTGCTCTTTGCTCAGTCGGCGGACCTCATAACTGCAGCACAGGGTACTTTACATCAACCTTCAATCTCAAACACGTCTGTTGCTGGGATTGACCGATAATGTCACCCCTGAGACTTCACAGGATGACGAGTAAGAACTGTCATGGAAGGCCTTCCGTGGGTTCATTCAAGTGAGAATTTTGAAGAGGTATGCAATCCACCTTTGCATTTACCTCACGCTCGTTATACGCCGCGGGATATCTCGGCCGCGTTAAGCTCTGGGCGACCGCAAAAGCACAATTTGAGGATCTCGGATGACTATAAGTTCGCTCTTGCAGGCAAGCCCGTTCGAATTACAAAGTTTTTTACATTCCGTGGATTGGGTTTCAGACGTCTCATACATGGGCTTTTAGTCCGAACGACCAGAATTCGCTGCGGCGCATGCTGTGTTGTGACCAAGTCAGAAGCCGTTGCACGTTCAGCAAAAATTTGAGAAGGCCTGAGGTGCATACATTTACTATCCCTACACAAGCACATAACGCCCGAGAAAGCGACCATCGTGAATCAATATCCTATTCGTACCTCGAATATCAGGAGAAACGAAGATGTTCACACAATCAGATTGCGAGATAGTACATAGTTTCTACTTGAAGAGTGTCTTGTTTTCAAACAAAGCCCTAGAGTACACGCACACCGACCGAAGCAGACTTCTTCAGTGACTCGTTATCCTGAACGAACCTACATGTACTGAATGAGGATCTGGTTGACGCGTCTTATTGAACGGCTGAACGCTTACGAAAGGTCCACCCCTTCTCAGGGGTTGAATTTCTGACGCCAACTTCTGATCAATTAGCAAAATGTTTGAGCAAAGTCCAAAGCTCAAAGCTACTATGATAAGATGGTCCATGATAGACGGGGTCTGCAGAGGCAAACAACCACACTGTATATCTTGAAACCTCCGTACTGCCGAAAGAGTAAGTCACACCTTTCTATTCCAATCTGATACTCCTTTCCCCCGGTTGCAATTCCTGCACCTTCCTTATCCCAAGTGTTTTTTACGGGGGCTGTTACGCGGCGGCCACTCAACCGGATCTCTCTAAGTTGGCTTAGAGCACCACTTGCACCATACAAGCCTCGGAGCATCTCCGCAGTAAAGTCCGCGACGCAGATGCCTCGCACCTCGGAGAGTCTTTCGCGAACGCCCGGCGGCGGCTCTGCTGACTGCGTCCACCGATTGTCGCCGTCTTTCCAGTTTTTTAAACCCGCACCTCCACCTCCACCTCCGGTCTTCCTCGCCGGTGCTGTGGTTGGGGGCGGCGTCGGCGGACGGGTTGTGGGCGGTGGGGTTGCGAGAGCGGTCTTCCTGAGCATGGCAACCCTGGTGTTTGCGTTTTCGGGTCCCAGGGTGCTCTTCAGGTAGCAGCAGTCGTGGTCGGCGCAGTGCGCGATGCCGACGCACGCGGCCTCGTTGTCGCAGCGCGCGATGCACGCGCCGATGCTCTCGACGGTGGCAACGTCCCCGCACAAGGCAGCGTTGGTGGGGGCGCCCGCCGACGGGAAGATGTCGTTACCCGGATTATCCTGCGGAGAGAGACTCAGTGGCCAAAGACCGGTGGGCCGGCCTGAATTACAGGGACTCCTCAGACAACGTCGTAGTTCCAAACCTTACTTCTATATTCTCCGAGCTCAAGAGCTGTTGGAGAGTATTGGATGGGAACGCGCGGTGGGATTTAGACCCTGACATCAACGGGCGACGTGACCGGATCCCAAAGAGGAGCCTCGCCAGAGGCTAGATAAGGATCCATCGCCACATCGCGGATTTTTGAAAAGTTGGTAAGAAGGTCAGGAGTGCCGCCGGAAAGGCTTGTGCGGAGCCTGAGAGTGGGCTCAAAAGCTAGTGCATGCAGTCAAGTAGCTTGCACCCGCTGTCAAACAGAACTTGTGTTGTCGCCACCTTTGAGTTCTTCGACGCAAGCAGCTGAAACCTGGTCAGAATCTCATCGGTCTTGATTTAAGGTGGGTTCGAGGGCACTTCGAGGTCGTGGTTTCGAGGGGCACACACTTATCTTGAAACGGACCTACAAGCTGCACAGAGGTGAACTTACCTTCCCGTACGCGACGACGTATCCAGGTAAGCCTGCACGAAAGAGGATGAGCCGGAGAAGCGTTAATGAGGGACGTACTCTAGGTAGAGTACGTTACACCTTGGCAAGTCCACTATTCGCGTTTGTACCACGTAAAAGCATGCTGAAAGAGACTCGATCTGCTTTGCGAATGGGCTTCACGGCTTTGCACAGCACTGAGCATCGTTCCACTTCGTGCCACAAGACCGGGCTTCCAGAATCCAAACGGGCCAACGACCAAATGACGCACCGCACAGGGACGTCTGGTCCGTATTGTTCACCGCCGCCAGCTAGGAGCTCACCCGTCTTCAGATGAGCGATGGTCCTTGTGTTGGCAGTCGGACTGTCCATTCTGCCCTTGAGGAAGCAGCAATTGACGTCAGCAACGTGGACGAACCCCGCACACCCGGCCGCAGCGTCGCAGCGCGTCTCGCAGGCGGGGGCATCCGTGTTGCTGTAAGTCAAATAGCCGCACGTGGGCGCATCCATCGGACCGTCTGAAGGGCGGATGTCGTTTAAGTAATAGTCCTGCACAGTCAAACAGCGGTTGAGTTCGCTAGTGCATGGTTGTCTTTTCTCGAGTTCCAGCTGACAGGTGGCGTGACCAAACGCAGATGCATTAAGTCAGTGCCACGGTGCGTGGGGCTGAATCAATCTGTTCTTCATAAAACAGGGCATACTAACCGTCACTCTGCCAAGCTGACTGACAGGACGAGAAGTGGGTGCCTTTCCAAGGCTGATAGAAACCTAGATACTCACGCGTTCTGTTACGGCCGTCTTAAAAGGGGACAATCTGGAACTCAAGATTGCGAGTTGGACAGACCCAATCCCTTCTCAGCCCACACCCTCTTACAGACCTGACACAACACCTTGAGAATCTTCGAGCACTCAGTGTGTACGCTGGTCGATCCAACCAAAGAAAGCGATTAGCAATCATCACCACGTCAATCTCAAGGCGATGATTGAACCTTTTCCATCTGACAGCAGATCTTATTGACTGGCACAATCCTGTTCAACTAACAGCAAATACACTTTGCCCTCCGACATGCGATGCCCCTCGATTGACTCACCGCGTTTGGTTGCACAATGTATGTGTATGGTAGAGTGGGGGCGGTGGGTCCCGGATAGTCTGCACGAAAAGGGATGATCCGGAAAAGCTTCAGAGAGAGGCGTTTACATCCCAGCTTCTGATCAGCTGAAATGCGAATCTACTGTCGAGCTACAAAGCTGCCTGGCAAGTTCACCTAGCGCATTTGGCGGCATATAACATTCTCCAGGCCTCTCTCTAGAGCATCCAGCCTTCAGAGCCTCTTTGCACAGCAGCCTCATCCCACCAGTGACTTGCATACATATTTACCTGTGCATGACTCGGATTCAACTCTCAAACAGGTAGTGAACAAAAGGCATGCGGCGCACAGGCTCACAGAGATTGTTCATCACTGCTGACGGTTCTTGTGTTAGCACTTGGACTCTCCAATCTGCTTTTCAGGAAGCCGCAATTGACATCAGCGTCGTGCACAAACCCCCCACATGCGTCGGCGGCGTTGCAACGCGTCTCGCAGTCTGAGGCGCTTGTGGCGCCGTAGGCTACATAGCTTCACCGGACCGTCCGTAGGGAGGATGTCGTTGCCGGGGAAATCCTGCAGCAAAAAAAGTCAGGTTAGCAGCACTTGAGCCCGCTGGTACAATATGTATCTTTTCTTGAACCCCACCAAACCTCAGGCAGGCGCAGCTGTAGCAGTGCCATTGACCATTGGGGTCACTAGTCCTTGAGTTCGAGCCCTTGCTGACCGTCACTATCCACTTATATATGTAGGCCAGGCGGAGCTGACAATGGTAATCAAGCAGATATCCAACAGATTGATGCAGGTAAAACCCAGGTCAAAGTTGGCTAGCTGCGTGTTCCGCCTCGGTCTCAGCCATGTTCATGCGCTGCCTCACGCAACGTGACTCACCGTGACCGATTGCACCGTGTCCTGCTGTGCTGCCACGTGGCCCATCATCATTGCAGGAATGAGCAGGAGGGCAATTAGGACCTTGCCATGAGCAACTAGTGCGGCAGCAGGCTCCCCGCGATGCAATTAAGGAGGGCGCTGTCGGCGCCATGATGACTTGCTGGTGGAGAATTGCTGGCGAGCTGGTTGATTCGGTTGGGGGGCTCAGATCTGGAGGAGTACTAGGGGAGGGGAGGATCAGCAATGAGGGTACAACAAGTAAAAACGACTCGGAATTTTGCCGGCATGGAGACACGCGACTGTTGAACTTGAGAGCAAAGGTGGAGCTAGCAGCTAGGAAAAGTCCAGATCGGTGTGACTACAGGCAACATTTGCAATATCATCTTAACAGCAGCAGCTTCCTGGCAGCTATTCATATCTACTTTGAGAGGGCATCTGCCTCTAAGAGCATGGAATGCAGACCAAGTAGCCTCAGGTAGGTTACAGGTATGTGGAGGCGTGCGTGAAGCATTCAACCGCAATGGTTGATCGCTCCCGTTTCTTCTACCTATGTAGCTACACGACACCGCATGAAATAAAGAAGCCGCCGCTGAGCCGTTATGTCGTGTATAATGCACTACCTTGTTACCATAAGGGCCGCCGCGGCCGGCGTACCGCGGCCGCCGCGTACTGGGTGATACGCATCCCTTCTTCCCAGCCTTCAGGCATTTTTCTTGACACTCTTGATTGGTCTTGCCTTCTCTTCAAGGATGGGTTGAGTACTTTAGTGTCAACGATGTACTGACAGTGAACTTACTAAGGCAGGGGGCGGCACCCGGCGGCCGCCCCACCAAAACGACTCTGAGTCAACTCCGGCTAGTAATCCCATGCAGGAGCATTTACTTTACTGCATAATGCATTGCAGTCCAGGGTAGCGGCGACTTTCTGAAGCCAAGCGCGGCGCCGGCGGCAGGGGGAGTCCCCAGAGTGATCTGGACAGGTTGAATTCAGCTTGCAGCTTGGAGGTTGCACAGGCGGCTTTGCACCCTCTTTGCACTGCATGATGGACTCCATTCTTATAGAGTGAGACTGCAAGCTGTAACTAGAAAAGGCCGAACCCAAAATGTTCCTGGGGCCTGAGTACGAGGTAGGGCCGCGGTGTAGGTACAGTGAATGGTTAGTCGAGTCTTGCACTAGCCTAGAATGGGTGCATAATACATGAGCCGCTACAGCGGTCCAGCGGCGTGTTTCTCGCGGGGATCTTCCTCACAAACAGGATCTCTTTGAGCTCAATAAATGCAGCATGCTCAATAAATGCAGCATGCAGAACTAGGAAACCAGCGCGCTGACAGACTATATATACAGCCAGCCAGCTGCCAAACCATGAGCCTGTCGCTGACTTCGTAGCTGTAGACTGTATATCTGCCCCACGTCTCACAATGGCGCTGATCAGGCCAGGGAGCAGAATCGGAACCTCCGAGTGCGCCCTAAGTCGACGACAACCTCCCAAAGTAACTGGCCTTAATATTAATGTGGCACTATTCGACTGGTCACATTGGACAGGACACCAAACCTCAGCTAACCTCGATATCGCTCATAGATTTCTCCTGATTAGTCACGAAACAGCGCTGAGGTCTCGTTCCCTCAGGGGTCGTTTACACCTACAGTAGTCGCCTCTCGTTGCTGCATGCCTCAAGCTGATTGATATCAGCTTCTCGGCATTCACTCTGAGCAGCCGCAAGTCGTCAACATGGCGCCACGTACAAGTTCTTCCTCCTATTCGCAGCGCGATATGGGGCCTGCTGCCACGGCCGCAGTCAGCATCCTCGCCTTCCTGCTCCTTCCCGTGGTGATGCTCGGCCACGTGGCTGCGCAACCGTACACATACACGGTGCAACCAAACACGGTGAGTCACGCGGCATGAGGCACTCGCATGTGAAGGGCAATGCGGTATCTGTCGTGCAATCAGCTCTGTGCTTGAAGGTTCTCAACTTAGCCTATGTTGTATCAGGTGTTAGCGTCTTGGCCCTGTTCTTGCACTGAGAGAGACCTGTCACCTAATTGGGGGCTTGTGTATCAATGATTGAGTTTTGCACGTTGGCAAGCTGCAGTATAAGTCCTCATCTCCTTAGCTTCCTAGTCTCTTGATACTTCTTAATATAAGTGACTGCCGTAGCGGGGCACTTGAGTAGATAGTATTGGCCCTCAAAAATAATTTGCGTCCGACTCGTGCCTTCTTGTGGGTTCGAGGCCCAGCAGTTGGGCATACCGCAACAAACAGCAATTCCTTGTAACCTGATGAAATCTGGCTTCAGCCCAAACAATACATGGCACTGGGCCCGTTTCTGCATCTGCATCTGGTCGCGCAAACCGCAACTTTTGAATTAAAAGAGAGATACATTATGCACTAGCGAGCTCATCAGCCGCCGGCTAGTGAGCTTTCGATTGATGTGCAGAATTACCCCTTCAATGACATCCGCCCTTCAGACGGTCCAGTGAATGCTCCTGCGTGCGGCAATTTGGCTTACGGCGACACGAGCCCCACCGCCTGCGAGACGCGCTGCAACGCCGCCGACGCGTGCGTGGGGTTCGTCCACGTTGCTGACGTCAATTGCTGCTTTTTGAAGAGCAAGCTGGAGGGTCAGAATGCTAACCCGAGTTGCGTCACCCATCTGAAGACAGGTGAGCTCTCACACTGTAAAATGCTAGCGGAAGTGGGCAGATCGAGCTGTGAGCTTGTGCGGTTAGTCAAACGTTTCTGGTCGCTGATCATTCATGAAATCTTAATAATGCACAGGTAGTGGCAGTGACGTGTAGGCAATCTACACAGGGAGAAACGGCTTTTCCCCGGGGTCGGGGAAAGCCCGGGCTGTTCCCGGGGAAGGCCTTTTCCCGGCAATTTCCCCGGGGATGGTCATGTCCGAGGAATTCGTCAGATCCCCGGGGTCCTCCCCGGTGACCGGGGAAGCAAGTCCGGGGAAACGAACCCCGGGGAAGGAAGGCAAATCAAAAAAGCTCCCCCACACCAGGATAAGATATTTTCGAGTTGTCCAGCGTGTAGGCAGACCGTATGCTGTCAGTAGGAAGCGTCTTGAATGAGAGAAAAGCAAAAAAGAGGGAGAAAGGATCTGCTGTCGTTGCTGGGGTTCGAACTCGTGCCCTTGGCCACCGGGTGACGTTACCTGATGTCGAGCACCTTAAA